GAACATACCTTGAAAGCCGTGATCTTAAATACAGTTCCAAGTCGATGGATGTTTCGAGATGGGATATCGAATAATCCATAAAAGACTTGCACATAGTTTGTATGCTTGTTGGACAAGAATGTTGCATTCCATCAACATTAGCGTAAGACGTAAGTACATTTATGTGGGTGCTTGTTAGAGAACAAGTTCACTGAACATGACCGTATGAAAATTCTTAATGAAGAATTTATTCAGTCGAATAAGAATTTTCATGTTACAATAGTACATGACTAATCCTAAGACTTGAGGCACAATGGTAACTTTGTGCATATTACATTCTACTTTGATTTATCCTTTTGGTAGCTAGCACTATCGTTTAAAGGGATAAGTTGGGTATTATGTTAATATGTATGGAAGTTTGTTAGTGGCCAATAAAGGATTCGACACTTATGAAGATAAGTGAATTTCCTATGTGTTTCATAGTTATTAATCCAAAGTCCTTGGCCAAGGCAGAGATGAATAGTGATTCATAACCGGGTTAATAAACATGAAATAGAATCATAGTTATTAAGTCAATTTGGGTTTCGACAAAATCATACCCAAGACTTAATCGGGAAATTAGATGTCGAAAGGATTTTACATGTATGGAGTTGTAATCGGAATAGGTTTACTCGCTATTCACTTAATACTAGATTCATGCTACTTGCTAGGTGTTACCATGATATGTGGGTTCATAAATTAAAGGGTTAATTCATGAATAAGAGTTAATAAGATTTAACTCAAATTACAAAGTGTTGTAAACCCACTACTAGTATTAAGGTGAACCTAAAAGGTCACACTAATTATGAACAAAGGTAAAGATTGTATTTCTAATGGTTAGAATTAATTGATAAATATCTAATTTGATTAGATATCAATTAAAGGAATATATTAATCAATAAGATTGATTAATTACATTTTGGATATTACTTTAGTAATTAAGGTAATTACTAAATTAATAAAGTTGAATTTTAAAATAGGATTTTAAATTTCAAAAATCCAAAATAATAATAATATGATTATTATAATATTGGGAAAATGATATAATAATAAAGTCTTGAGAAAGATTCTCAAGATTTATTATCCAATTATTATTTATATCTTTAAATATGATTTAAGGATTAAAATAATAAATATGATTATAATAAAATGGTTGTTGATGGTTGTTTGAACTACTTAACATATCTTATTATTTTCAAAGTCAAAAGTTAGTAAATACTATTTAAATAAAATTTGATTTTATTTAATATTACTAAATGTTGATTATTTTATGCTAAAATGTTTAGTATAAATATATGCAAAATGGTTTTGCATTTAAGTGAAGTTTTTGATCCTAAATTTCTAAGTGTTAGAAAGAGAAGAAAGTGTTCTTCATAAAACTTCAAGAAAGAGTTCTTAAAATTCCCAAATAAAATTCATAAATATTCCTATACAAGAAAACCGAGTCTTTTCTACTAGCGAAGGAAAGTCGTCGGAACCGGGCTTCATAGGGTGGATACGTTTAGAGGGAAGACACTTGGATTCCTCTAGCGAGTAACCTCAAGTCGTTGAAGTTACAACCGGGAACCGATTCCCTCATCCATCATCAATAGTGAAGGAGTTCAAGACATTCGGTAAATATTTTTACTAGTATTTACTTTATAGTAACAAATCAAAATTTGTATATGATGCATGTTTTAAAGATGACGATCAGTTAATTCGCAATTAGTATGTACGGGTGTTGTATTTATACGATAAATACTTACTTTAAAAATTTTAAATTCCGCTGCATACAGCCCGTACGGTACTATCGAACACAACAACCACGAGGTGCGGATTCGAGGGTGAATCCTCTCCAAGGGGGGGAGAATGATGTAGACGAGATATCGTCTAGCATCATAATTTTATGATATATATTTATTTCCTTTTATTATTGATCCTTTTATTATTATTCTTTTTATGTTTAGTATTTAATTGGTAAGAGAATAATTATTATTCTTATTATTGGTATAGAATAATTAGTAAGATATCTTCTCTTATTGGACAAGTTATGAGTAGAGTTTAGGAGCCTTATTTAAATAACTCTCCCTCTTTTGTGTTCTTCAGTTGAATTTGAAGTAAAATTGATTGAGTTTATCGTGTTTTGGTGTTCTTGATATTGCGATCTCATTAATATCGTCCCACTCGTACTGATGTAGGGAAGCGTATGAGTGAGACGATATTAATGAGTTCGCAATCTAAAGAACACCTAAACACGATATCAAATAATCTTTTATTCATAATCAACAGAAGAATACAAAATAGGAGAAGTCCTTTAAATAATGCTCCAAAACCCTACTCCTAACTTGTCCAACAAGACAAGATCTCTTACGAGTGAGACGATATTAATGAGTTCGCAATCTAAAGAACACCTAAACACGATATCAAATCATCTTTTATTAATAATCAACAGAAGAATACAAAAGATGAGAAGTCCTTTAAATAATGCTCCTAAACCCTACTCCTAACTTGTCCAACAAGACAAAATCTCTTACTAAATATTCTAATACCATTAATAAGAATAATAAATATTCACTTGTCAATTAAATACTAAACATAAAGGAGTAATAATAAAAGGACCAATTATAAAAGAAAATAAATATATATCATAGATTAATGATGTAAGACGATATCTCGTCTACATCACTTGGATTATTTTCCCTCTTACTGTTTTAGCCCACGAATCCTTAGGACATGAATCCGGCCTCCTGACCTATCTATTGTGGTTTTCACGAGCGCGTACTTGACTTTGTCCTGAGGTCTAGACCGACCTCATCCTTAGGCTAATCCTGCCCTCAGTCCAACCGAACTTGATACCTCGAGGTCAGTTACTTTGCCTGGCTCTTGGGGGTTGGCACCTCCAGGTCGTGTCTTTTATGGTATCTCAGTACCTTAAGCCCATGTCCGAGCTACTTGACTGAACATCTTACTTCTATGTACACGGGAGCTCTCCCAGCCCGGCCTTGGCCGAGCTATTTGCTCAGACCATTCTGCCAAGCTACTTTTGATTGGTATATCAAAATTATCATCTACCCAGTAACTTGTAATTTCCATGTAAAAATATCTTGCCAATGATTGGACAAATGTCACAACGAATAGAAAATTCTTTGGTTTAAAGCTTCAAAAGTTTGCGCAAAAATTATTTTTTTTTCTCACCCACAATTATTCGAATATCTCGAGTGATAGTCGTACGTGGAACCCGAGATGCGGTCAGGTTTAAAGCCATTTGAATAAAATTTTAATATAGATCAGAATCTCGAAAACCGAAGGAAGAGATGAAGCATAAAGAAATTTGGCTAGATTCTTTCTATGGTTTTCATGAGAGTATTGAAATAAATTAGAAGACGTACTTGTTCCACTCGCGGATGCTGTGCTACTCCTCAGGAATTGCATTTGGGTTGTGGGAATCCCCATTTCGGCAAGATGATGTATCTGTACGTGTCGTTTCATCGAACCATACCCATTGCCGATTTTGAAATAGTACTTTTTCTTGTTGTTCAGGGGACAACGGTTGCAAATACATATAAAATATTTGTCACTTTTTTTCTCATTGGGCACCTTCGTGAAGTGCTGAGTGAATATGTCGATTTCAACCTTGACCTCCATCGGCGGTCGTCCGAGTCCGTTGAGGTTGTTGACCTCCTCCACCTTGAGTAGGATCGAAATCGTCTTCATACAGTTGCTCTTGCACTTGGGCACCTTCGTGAAGTGTTGAGTGAATATGTCGGATTTCAACCTTGACCTCCGTCGACGGCCGTCCGAGTTCGTTGAGGTTGTTGACCTCCTCCACCTTGAGTAGGATAAAAATCGTCTTCATGCAGTTGCTCTTGCTCTTGATTCATATATGAATTGTCTTCATATAGAGTAAAAGATGCGTTGGACCGTCTCGGGCGGAACGTCATCGTCAAGACCGGGAACATTCCGGTATATCGTCTGTCTCAGCGTTGATAATAGAAGTTTACTTGGAGAAGATTCGCAAACATTTTTATGCATTTGTGGTGGCTGATCACCAGAACGACCACCACGAGCACTCAATGTTTGTTAACTTAAAGAATATATTGTATGAAAAAAAGGTGAAAATGATAAAATTAGAAATGAGAGAGTATTACGTAAAGATTTTATCGAACTGGAACCGAAATGAGAGTGAATTTATAGAATCGAGACATAATTTATATAGAATCTAACCGATTTTATAGCCACCCAGTAAAAAAACTCAAAAAGATCACTTTAAGACCTTAGAAATATGTAGAGAATAATGGAAGAATGTCCAATGACCAGATTTTAGAAACTGGACGTTGGAGGTTCTGGAACTAGACCTGAACCTGGACCCAAAACTGAATATGTTAAAAAAATAAAAATAAAAAACAATATGACAGTAGAATATCCAACGGTAAAAAATATCTGACGACTCAGATTTAATCTTGGCCAACAGTCCTCAGCCCCATTTCGCCTTCCAACCTCACGATAAACTATGCGACAGACATACGAAGATAATTGATGTGAAACGCTATGTGACAGACCGAAGATAATTGATAAAGTACGAAATAGTTATGCGATAAACTGCGTAACAAAAAGTCAAACATAATTGATAAAGTATATCGAGTATTGTCACGGACAAACATAATTGATAAAGTAATTCGGGTCGAAAACTAAAAATAGAAAAATAAGAATAAAATAATGTCAGGCTTCCACGCCCAGTTGTCGGTCGGGCCTAAACTAGCCCTACAGTTCAAAAATATATATATAGGTGGCCCGAAATCGACTTAGTCAAACTACATACTCGGTTCAAGGCCCGTGGCTATGTGTAGGGCAGGTCGGGCTGAAACGGATCTGGCCCAAATTGCCATTCCTAAGCCTGACCTCATTTCAACCCAATCAATCCACGCATTTCACCTCCTTACATCCAACCTATTTTTATCTCCAGACCAAGATAACATGTTTTGTTGCAGCTCGGAGGTAAATAATCACATTCTCTTGTTAAATAGAGATTTTTCCCTTTATTTGATTCTAAGTTCGACCCAAAAAAGGTGAAAATTTTCACCTCGTTCCAAGTTCGGACCCAAAACGGTCAAAATTTTCAGACCCAAAAAGGTGAAATTTGAGTTGAGATCGAAAAAGATGGAACTTTTGAGTCTGAATAAGGTGAGACCGTATTTTCTATTCGGCAACAAAAAAGAGTGAAACTTGATAAGATTTATGTTGTGATTTTTGTTTAACGAAGAGTTTGAATGCGTATGAACTTGTTTGTCTGATCAACAGCGTCATTGTCTATCAACTTGAAAAACCTGTCTCCGATATTGGCAGATGCTCTATGTTTCAGCATACCTTGATTCCTCTTACGAATATCTATTTTCTGGTCTGAGTCCTTTTGAAATTAAATATTGCCTTTTGCCTTCAAATATTTTAATACATATTTGCTAGTTCGTTTTACATGAATTTGCATTATCAATTATATTTCTTTATCAAATTAGATTTATTTTATGTGTTTAGTTTTCCTGGTGGTAGACCTGCTAATCTCAACCATAAAAAAAGTTTTTTTCCCCTATAGAATTAACAAGCAAGAACATGTTTTTTTTACTGAGTTGTGCAAGTTGTTGATTGTTGCATTCTTAATGGGTTATCGCCATGTTTGTTTGATAGTGTGTTGAGAGACATCATGGTGGTGATCTTATAAGTCGGTTGCCTGATGACATTCTCCTTGTTATCCTATCTTCCCTCCCACTGAAAGAAGTTGGCCGCACAAGTGTTCTTTCATCTCGCTGGAGAAACTTGTGGAGTTACACCTCATATCTCTACTTTGATGACTATAGCTCCATGGAGAAGATTATACATGACCTGGATTTTTGCTTAGTAGAGAGGGAAAGAGAAAAGTATGTAAGGTGGGTGGATTCGGTTCTCCAATCACACAGAGGATCCAACTTGAAAGAATTAAGAATATGTTTTAGTTTAATCCAATCACCGTCAATTACGAAGTGGCTTGAATTTGCTTTTGAGAGGCACATCGAAAAGTTGGAATTGAACCTTTCACATGGTGATTATGTTCATGGCCCATCTGAAATTTACGTGTTTCCTCAAGAGTTGTTACGGGAAAATAGCAGAATTTTCAACTTTAAAACCATAAAAGTGTTGTGCTTACGCTGCGTTAATGTCTCTTGTGAAGCCATCGAGTTTCTCTTACGTTACTGCCCATTACTCGAGCAGTTAGTTGTCTGTTTCTCCGAATTATTGTCCAGTCTTGACGTTTGTGGACCATCCCTTGTGTTAAAGCATTTGAAGATATGGAAATGCAATGATTTTAAATCCTTACGAATTTCTGCTCCAAATCTTACTACGCTTATACTTAATAATAATATAGAAGCCCTCTTGCTTGAGGATGTTCCAATGCTTCGTGACGTTTATGTGACCTTTGGAGACTTTGGGCCTGATCCTATGTATGTACAAAGGCTAGTTCCCACACTGCTTTGCTGTCTTTCCCAATTGGAGATTCTCACCTTGAACATTTATGGGAGGAAGGTAAGCTGTCTTTCTTATTTTGTTTGTATCCTATTGATGGTAAAGTAAATATAGCATGGTTAATTTCTGTCTTTGCATTATAAAACATAATAATAGAGCCCTATTGTGGATTTGCCAACTGTTAACTTTGGTGCTCACGCAATACACCAATGGTTGTCAAACCAGCAATAGATTCATTGTTTGAAGCCTTATTTGGTTTATACAAAATTTTGGGTTTTACAAAAAACAAACTAAATAATTTATAACGCTAGCATCCTTTGAAATTTGCATTTCAATACTTTGGCATCCATTTCTATTTTTTACTATATGTCTTGTGATGACTTTTTTTTCCATATGCTTGCTTTCTTAGCATTTTGGTTATGTAAAATTCGCCAATAACCATTTTTGTATAAGAACAATATTATAAATTATTTAGAGCTTGTTTGGAAACACTTCTCAAAAGTCCATTTGGATAAGTATTCATGTTTGGTGCTAATTTTAAGAATGGACTTATGGATAAGTTGTTTTCTCCAAAAATTCCATTATATAGAAGTAAAGGATGAGGACTTCTGGAGAAGTCTATTTTCCATAAGTCCCTTTAAGATATGGACTTTTCCAAAAGTGCACCGAAACAAGCACTTAAGATAATCTTTAATAGTTTCTGACTGAACTATCTTTTGGCATGTCATGTAATCTTTTTGTTTAGAACCTGATATGGGACTATTTTTCTTTTTTGAAAGATGTTGAAAGCTACAAATATCCATAAATATATTTATGGATATTGTGAGAAGTTGAATAATTTTTCAAAAAGTAACTCAAGTGGAAGGTACTTAAAGGAAGGCCAAGTGAGCTTGTATAACTTAACTTACCAGTTGATATCTTTATTTATTGTTATTGCAGAAGCTTCCAACGACGCTCAATTTCCCTGTGATGCCTAAACTTAGGAAGTTGGTCTTCGTGAAACTTTTATATGGAGTGGACTGGAGTCTTCTAGAACTAGCTCATTTTATCAAGGCATCTCCCAACTTGCAAGAATTTGAGTTAAAGGTTGGTCTATCCCAAACATGTTTGAAAATATTATCCCTACAATCTCGTGTAAACTGGTCATCATTGAATGGATTTATGGCTTGTATTTTTTTGTCTTAAATTTTATATGTTAGATTAATGCCAAAACCGCGACTTTTGCTCCTTTCTCTCTCTCTCTCTCTCTCTCTCTCTCTTTTTTTTCGATCTCTTCCTTTTGGTTCGAGTCTTTTTTGTGTTTCTCTTGGGTTTCATCTCTAGCCTACCCCGACCTGCTTGGGACTAAAGGCTATGTTGTTGTTGTTGTATATTTGCAGCAAGCATGGTTTGTTGTTGAAAGGTCAAATAGAGAAATTCAGAAGGGAGTTGAGCAATTTCCACTGCACCAGCACTTGAAAGTTGTTCGGTTTTTAGGTTATTATGGTTGCCCGAGTGATATTGAATTAGTCAACTACTTGTTGGAGAATTGTGTGTCGCTTAAGGAGATCATTGTTGATACCCAAAATCGGGCTCCGGACTATGTGGCAGTTGATCCTGAAGAATTAAAAGTGGTTGCTAAACAGCAGCTGGAGCCGCTAGTACCTAAGCACATTAGGTTATTTATATGTTAACCCTTTCTGTTTTTGGTTTCTTGTTTAATACTCAAGTTTTTCTTGGTTATTATATTAGAACTAGTGGGAGTTATGAATTATGATCGCTTTGTTGAGATGTTATATGTTTTATTAGTACTATTTAATGGTATCTTGTGAACTATATTTGGGATTTGCTTATTTTTGCGTTGTGGTCCATAAATATATTATGATGGACATTACTTTTGATGGACTGGGCCGAAGGCCCACTAGTTTTTGTCAGGTATTCTTATGATGTAAATTGTAAGCCCTATATATATTAAGGGTGAGTTTGGTTGTAATAATGGATTGAGCTTGATATAATCTTTTTGATTGTTTCAAAGGCTATCCATTTGTTTAGTTAGTACATTAACTTGTTTGGTTTAGAATTGATAATTGTATCCTTTATGTTTAAAATACTTTTATACCCCTCATTTAAAATTAAATTTTCCAAATGAGTCCACCAAATTGAAAAAAAAAAGGGAGAATCCATCGCATACGATTTCTTCAAGCAAGACGCTTCAGCGTGTGAAACCTGACCGCGAGCAACTTATCGCCCTCCGTCGCTCTCTTGCCTCTAGTGCCATCGCAAGTTCTGCACCTCGCCGACCAACAAGAAATCGATTACGGACGCCGGCAGATTCCCCCGTCATCCGTCCGCCGCCGCAATCAAGATCGACGGGCCGAGAAAATGGCCGATCTAAAATTAAGAAAAAAAAATAAGGAAAAAGGAGGGTCGATCTGAAATTTACCCCTTGGACCAGTCATTATCTATGTAGAAAGCTTAATTGAACCAATTGAACCCACATTCAAAGGAGGACTACAAGTTTGGGGCTGGACGAAATAAAGGCTTAATTTCCACTGATCTAAGGACCTGTTGCTTTAAAAAAAAAAAAAAAAAAGAAGAAGAAGATAATGATGATGAAGAAGAAGGAAACGGGTATCTTGCTGTGCCCACACAAATTCACGAAAAAGAGAATAATAAATTAAGGTTATCTTTGTAAATTTAAATAAAAAAGAGTGTGTGATAACACATCCCACCTTTGAGGTGGGATACACAATACCGAAAATTGTTAATAATTGATCGGGCCCTTCACTTTTAACGGACTTAGACTGTGTGAACCAAACATCTTTATAGGCATAAAATAATAACAATAGGTAGGATATCAAGCACAATCCTGCCAACCAAACGGACCATACGAGAACTATTAATTGGATGAATCTTTTACACATTTATTATAATTCATACATTTTTTATAAGGTCAATCTCCGACTATTGAATATTGTTTGGTTTTTTTTTACAATAAGTGAATCTCACTGACATAATTTATGTATTTTACAATATTTGGAAAATATTTGACTTGGTAAGACTACTGATTCATATATGGCATTTGTAATACAAAATTGATGCAAAAAGAAACAGTGTTGTGTTATAAATGTACGTACCAAAAAATTAGTTGCGTCAAAAAATCTAATATAAGTGGTAAAGAAGGTAACTTTATCAAATTTTTTTATGCATGTTGGATTAGAATGTCAATTTCAACATCTTCGTAATGCCTGATTCTGAGATAGATGAGGAATTTTCCGGACCTATTTTTACGTACCAATTTTTTCCCTATTCCATGCAAAGTACATAGTTATGAAATAGTTATCAGGCACTATCATTTTTAGTTTGAGTTTAGGGAGAAGGAGTGTGCAAGGATTAAAATGGGAACCTCAACTGAATAATTACTCAATATCTTTCATCATGCATTTATGTAGGTTTAAGTTAAAGGTGGTCTATAAAAAGATGTTCTCAAAATTCCTAACAGAGAATTGACTTTGTTGTTGCTACTGTTCACCATGAGTATGCATTAATTTCATTCTTATTTAGCATAAATGCATGCATTCCTGTTATCTCAACACAAGAGCTGAGAATTGCAAAATCAAATACATATTATACACAATAAACCACCACACACACGTCTCATTGTTAGTTTGCTAGTATGGTTATCCTAGTTGGCCCTCGACGAGTCGTATAAGGCGCGTCATGTTAATGTAAGACACCACTTGCATTGCTCCTTCTTTCAGGATGAAATGAATGAAAAGTGTAGGCCTACATTAGGGCATTGTTGACTTTCCATATCTTTGCGACATAACTAACATTGTCTGGCGAAAATTCGAAAAAACGGGAGGCCATTTTTGTCTAATGGCCCATCTTCATAAAAAACCACATAAAGAATCAATGATCCCTAAAGGGAAAGCTAACGGTGAAGCAGTCTCGCGTGAAAGCTCGATTTTTTGCCTTCCACAGGGGCCGAGACTTTGAGCACGGTGTCATGCCGCAGCCATGGATGAGGAGTGGTGCAGAGCAATGAGATGGGTTTCTTGATCAAGACTGGAGTTTTGTCTCAGTATCCAAAGCAACATCCCAGGGGCTGAGGTTTTTGTGTGTGAAAGCAAAGGAAGAACGAAGATGAAGGGGAATTTGGTGTTATTGCTCCTCTGTTTTTGCTCTTCCAGGTAGGTTTATTGAAAATAGTGACAGTTTATTTGTCATTTGTTTATAGCCTTTAGTCTATTTTAATAGTTGAGGAATCTATGGCTGATATTTAACACGATTACCAACCTAACTTTTTGTGTCTTATCAAACAAAAAAAAAGAAAAAAATAAAACAGAGCGGGAGAAAGAATATACATACTAAATCTTCGTACATACTAACAGAAACATACTAATTCCAACAGAAACATAGCAAAAAAACAGCATACTAAAATATGAAATATCGCACTAAATCCAACATACTAATTCACAGCAGAACTGTACTTTAAAACCAACCCTTTACTCCAACCGAACCACAAAAGTTTTATACAATTTTCTCTTCACAAACGCAATTCATTATAAAATTACAAAATGACCCTTCAATTATTTATAGTTCCACCTTCAACTAAAACACCTAAATAAAAATTAAAACAGTGTGGAGGAGAAAATAATATTAAAAATTAAGCTACATAAAAATTAAAACATGTGAGAAGGAATATAATATTAAAAATTAAATTATGTGTGCTACGTCAATCCAAATTTAATAATATAGTAAATCTGAAAATGAAACAAATGTATATTGTTTCAACTTATTAAATATATTGATTTTAAATATTTGTACAAGAAAATAAAAATGATATATACATTCGATAAAAATTCAATCCAAAATAAATATCAATACTTTTAAAATATTCCTAAAAAAATAAATAATCTATAGAAAGAGAACATTCTAAAAATTGATAACAAATTCAAACAATATCATCTTTAGAAATTAAAATTTTTTAAAATAAGAAAACTAAAATTCTGTGACATATACCAACTTTTAGAAGAAAAAAAAAAAGGACATTAAAATTACCAAAATATTTTTAAGAATTTAAAAATTGCATTAAATTAACGAACCAAGATAATGTCTTTACCCAAGATAAAAAAGCATATTGTACCAGACATGGCTTTCATTTATGATAAGTCAAATTATCGAACAAATGTCTCATATGATATGGGATAATCATACCTGGTCGACTGGACCGGAGAAGCAACCAGACCTAACTGGCCTAATCACCGGGTCGAAGGGAGAAAGAGGATCGCTCAAGTCGAAAGACTCTCTGGTCGAAGAAAATACCAGAGGTTAGGAGAAGCCAAGAGGTCGAGTGGAGGTTTTCGGAGAGACCGGTCGAAGGCTAACAGGAAGGAAGATTTGGTCGAACGATCGACCAGATGGACAAGGCAGCGAAGCTTATTATCAACGATACATTACCTAAAGACAAAAAGGGGTCGAGTCAGCGATTAGACCACTTAATGGGGAGAGCTTAAGGATAAGAAAGAATCTTAGGAAAATTAAACCCCTCACATGGTTAAAACCACGTGGCATCACCTGAGTGGACCACGCATCATAACCACATCTGAAAGCCCAGATGGCTCCGACAGTTCAGACAACCGAGGTAGCTCACACACTCACTGGTGGAGACCTCACGCGCCCGACTTAGGTCCTAAGGTATCTTCTCCCTGGTTTGTGCCCTCTGTTGTTTGTGTTTTTCTCGGTTGTATTTGGACTTTGAATCCTTCTTTGGTTATTGCAGTTTTCCTATCGTTACGTTAAAAAAAATATATAGAAATGAGTACAAAATAGTGGAAGAATCTATTAATATAAAAAAATAGTTGATATAGGATAATATTTGGATTAATTTTTTAATTTGATATCTAATTTGACTAATAGTTGGTCATTGAATAAATTGGTATGAAATATACATTGAAATTGAGATATGAAAGTGCTTAAAAAAATAGGATGATTTTGATTTGTAAGAAAAATAAAAATATAACTCTACTTTAAAGTTGAATTATTTCCATTATTTTTTGTACATTAATATCAAAGATTGGTTAATCGATCTTAAAAAAAAATCAAAACTGCAAGGATTAGTAATATTTCTTAAATAAAAAATGTTGTGTAAATAAAAGTGTTTAATAATATATGTTTTCCATTGTTTGTATTTATTTTAGTTCCATAATGCGATGAGATGTGATAATATAAACAATTATATTTAAAATAAAGTTTAAAAAATGTTTAAAATATGAAGTGTTGAAAATTGGCCATTGAAGGCTCCGTGCAGGCCAATTGGGAACCGGAACCGGAATAGGACCCGAACCCAGACCTGGAATCGAATATATAAATAAAAAAAGAAAGAAAAATTTTACGAGTAAGTGAATATCCAACAGTAAAAAATATCAAACGACCCAAATTTAATTTGGGCCAATAGAGAATCCAGGCCGATTCGTTCCCATACATACATATTTGATTGTTAAATAATTATAAATCTACTACTTTCAAATTTAATTTGCACATCTACGAACATCACGTTTTTTTCTCTTACCACTATCTTTAAATATGACACGTTTTTTCTTTTTTCTCTCTCTTTAAACATACCACATTATTTTTCTCTTTCCTCTCTCTTTAATATTTTTTTTCTATTTCCCCTATTTCTTTCCCTGTTTCTTTTTATCTTTCCACAATCTTTAATTTTTTTCTTCCTCCCCGATTTTTTCCCCGTTTCTTTTTGGGTGGTTCGCCTCTCGATTGGGAAAATCGAACCCTAATCCCACCGGATAAAGGAGAACCAAAATGCATCGTATATAGAATATTTCTTAAATAAAAAATATTGTGTAAAGAGAAGTGTTTGATAATATATGTTTTCCGTTGTTTGTATTTATTTTAGTTCCATAATGAGATGAGATGTGATAATATAAACAATTATATTTAAAATAAAGTCTAAAAAAATATTTAAACTATTAACTCCTCCGTGCATCGCACGTGATATGCAATAGTGTTGAAAATTGGCCATTGAAGGCTCCGTTGCAGGCCGGTTGGGAATCGGAACCGAAATAGGACCCGAACCCAGACCTGGAATCGAATATATAAATAAATAAAAATAAAAAAAATTACGAGTAAATATCCAACAGTAAAAGATATCAAACGACCCAAATTTAATTGGCGAAATTTGGTCTCCACCACAAGAATTTTAAATAATTGCGAATTTACGAAGTGAGTAATTATATTTGCAAGCATCCCTTTTCAACTTCTCAAGCTAAAAATCCGTTACCATATTAAGTGAGATACTATCTTCCTACAATCACGTTAAACATAAAACATAAAAGGTAATATATATTATGTGAGATACTACCTTCTTACTATCTTCCTACAATCACGTTACCATACAGAATATATTTGACAACCTGAAATTCAAACGTACTATTTATTTTTTCAGTATATATTGCGTTTGTACATAATATATACATAATATATACAGAAGATATATAGAAAACATATAAGTTCGGAAAATATATTGCGTTTATACATAATATATACAGAAGATATACAAAAATTGTATATGTTTAAACTGTATATGTTTAGTTTATATAAGATATATATTATTATCCACAATGTTTACACATAAGAAACTGTATATGTTTAGTATTATTATCTATAATGTTTACACATACGAAACTGTATGTTTAGTTTATATAACGTACATTTTATTATCCATATTTATTTTTTCTATAATTTTTCCTCCATCGGTTCGTCGCTTTCAACAAATTCGTTGTCAAGTTACATCTCCTCAACAACAATTTCTCCGTCTTCACCAAAATCAGAATCTTCGGCTTTGACAATGCTGTGCTTTTATTCCGCCGTCATTGCTTCTTTGCCGACGGAATTTTATGGACGTCGCCGGAAGATGTTGGAGTGGGCTTTTATTCGCCGCCAGATTGACTGCTACCGACGATGTGCAGGGTGTCGACATCAGGCATTTTTGTTGTGTTTTTTTAAGAGGCAAACAATGAAGAAGAAAAAAAGAAAATTGATTGAGGAAGATGGAGTGAAAAGTAAAGTAAATTAATGGAGGTTGTTGTGCTCATAGATGATTCATGACAGAAAAAAAAACGTTAATGGTTATGAGAGTTACATTTAGAATCCCAATAAATCAGAAAGTTACCATTTAAAAATTTTTGGTATATTTTTACGTATATTTTCGGTAAAATTTCACGTCCTCAACAAAAATCCCATGGACCCCCTCCGTTTTTTTTCAGCATACAGAAATTTTTGCTGAAAATTTTCACATCCTCAATCGTTTTTTTGCAGTATATATTTTAGGTTAATCGTTATGTGGTGTGAAGAAGAGTATAGTGCAAATTCAAATTTCATCTTTCCATTTTGTAGCTAATTTTTTTAGTAACATGTCGGATATCACGCGGAAAAAAGGGGATGGAGGCCCGAGTTTTAGGTAACTGACTTTTAGGCTTTAATGCAGTTAGATTTGACAATTAGGTAGAAACATAATTATTTGTTTATGTATAGTATTATTGCAATATTTTTAATTTCAGGTAGGATACATAAAAATTTCCCTGAGAAAATTACCCGATATACAAATTCCCTGTGTCAAGCTCCATGGGATTTTTGTTGAGGACGTGAAATTTTACCGAAAATATACGTAAAAATATACCAAAAATTTTACCGGAAAATATACCAGAAATATACGTAAAAATATACCGGAAAAAACGAGGATGCGAAATTTTATAAAGAAAAAAAAAACGAGACAGGTCGATCATAAATATTTCTAATTTATTAACAGTATATTTCTAGTTTAAAAGGATATCTTTCAACGTTTTTATTAACAATATATTTCTAGTTTATTAACAGTATATTTCTAGTTTGAGTTTTTTTTTTCGTCTCCTCCTTCAGAATTTTCACTTTCGAATTCACTGATTTCCGTTTCACTCTGAGATACCTCGACTTCATAATGTTCGTCGTCTTCAAGGTTGGATAGCATCTTACTTTTTTTTTGGGATGAACATCCTTTTTACTTTTTAGCGAAGTTTCACCGGGACCTACGCACATTCGACGATGGGTTCTGAAAATTGTCGTCGGAAATTGGATGGTTATCATCAATCGGGGCCTGTTGCTTCGAAAACCCGATTTCTTGTTGTACCAATTTTCTCTTCATTTTTTGATTCCTCCCGTCAATTCTCGATTGCTTACGATTATGTGGAAAATTGCCCTGTGATTCGCTCTCACTGCTATGAGGATATTCTTTGCTTTTTTTCGGCATTATTGGGACTTTGAAATGAGATGATTTTGATAAAAACTAGGTTTTTTTTCTTCGATGGAAAGAGTCTGCAAGAGAAAGAGGTGTGAATGTGTGAGGAAGGTGCCGTGTGAACGTGGGAGACCGGTTACAATTAATGTGTGAGGAAGGTCCCAATCAATTGCAGCAGTTTCATCCTAAGTATAATTGTAATATTTTTTCTTTGATTTAGTAATTTTATAAATAAATATATAATGAGTGTATAAGTGTAATATAAATCATATTTGATGGTAAAGGGTGCAAATTCTTCCTATATATTTTTGTGAATCGTAGAGCCTCCGTTAAGGCCTTGTTCGGAACGGGCCCGAAATTTGGGTAAGAACTAATCGGCCTGGATTCTCTATTGGCTCAAATTAAATAAGTGGCCCGAAACTGACGCGAACAAACTTTGAGCTTGGTTCAAGGCCCGTGGTCAATGGACCGGTTCGTCAGGGGTGGCCATATATAGGGCAGATTGGGCTAAAACGGATCAGGCCCAAATTGCCATTCCTATCCCGACAGGAAACAGACATAACTAAAGTTTACAGGCTTCAACCCAATAAGTCCACGTACTTCATCTCCTTACAAGTTTTTTATTTTTATTTTTTTCTTTATTAATCTCTCCTTACAAGTTACATCAAGTTCCGACCTATCTTTATCTCCAGACCTAAGATTACAGGTTTTGTTGCAGGTCGGAGGTAAATCTTCACATGCTCTTGTTAAATAGAGAGTTTTCCCTTTATTTGATGCATATTAACATAAAATATCCTGATCTGTTGTAGATCTGCGTTTGGTCAGTCCAAACTCCAAAGATTGTTGCTCGCTTTGATGGCTGGCAGGCGTCTCAACCTTGATTCCAACTTCGGAATTAAAAAGGTAAAATTTTTCAGACCCAAAAAGGTGAAATTTTGAGTTTAGATTGAAAAAGGTGAAATTTTTTTGTCTGAATAAGGTGAGACCTTTTCTATCCGGCCACAAAAAAGGTGAAATTTTGAGTTTAGATTGAAAAAGGTGAAATTATATCACATTTTAATCCCAAATATTTAATTTATTATTATTATTTAATGCTATTGACCTGCATCTTTAATTTACAATTATTATTTAATATTATTTTCTCGTGCATCGCACTAGTTGCAGTTGAGATGTAACAAAATAAATTAAATAGGATAATTTACACAATTAAATTAGTGCAGTAAATTTCACATATAAACTTTTGATAAATTGATGTAGATGGATTACTCGAAATTCTCCATTGAGGAATTACCACATCACAGAATATCCTAAATAAGGAACATTAAGCATATGTTGCATATTATGATACCGAAGCTTATTGATGTTTTTAATAATTTAACAAATTACAAGTACCTCTAGAGTAAGATTACACAGTCATTTCTTGTATACAATGTTCATGTGAGAATGAAGCAGGATCATGTGTAACGTCAGACTCACAAGAAATTCAGACGGAATACGATGTTCCTACAACATCTGGAAATCAAGCTGAACCAAAAAGGGATCCACATTTGAAGATTCAGAAAGCTCATCGTCTGAACTGGTTATTGGAGATTTGAATGAGAGGGTAACCAGGAACTCGAAAACCTCAACGAAGGAACTCATGGGGATTTCTCACTTTGCATGCTACACTTCCTTGATAGAACCCAAGAATGCAAAAGAGGCACTGAAGGATGAATGTTGGATCTCTTCCATGCAAAAAGAATTGGAGCAATTCACTCGAAATGATGTCTAGGAACTTGTACCTGAACCTTCGTCAGGAAATGTTATCGGAACCAAATGGATCTTTAAAAACAAAACCGATGAATTCGGTAATGTGACTCGAAATAAGGCCAGATTGGTTGCACAAGGTTACACTCAGACTCAAGGAATGGACTTTGATGAAACCTTTGCTCTAGTTGCAAGGTTAGAATCGATACGTATATTTTTTTCAATTGTCTGTCTAATGAAGTTCATTGTTTACCAGATGGACTTAAGTCGGCATTTCTGAATGGAATCTTGCATGAAGAAGCTTATGTGAAGCAGCCTGAAGGGTTCAAAGATCCCAGAAACCCTAACCATGTCTACAGACTCAAGAAGGCACTGTATAGACTGAAACAAGCACCTCGTGCTTGGTATGAAAGACTTACCATGTACCTTCTGGAGAAGGGTTTTAAGCGAGGGGGAGTTGATAAGACATTCTTTGCCCTGAGAACCAATACTGACCTTTTGGTGGTTCAAATCTATGTAGATGACATCATATTCGGGTCAACTTCGAAGAAACTGGTTAATCACTTTGTCGAGCTCATGTCTACTGAATTTGAAATGAGTCTGGTAGGTGAACTTTCATACTTTCTCGGTCTTCAAGTGAAGCAAGGTAAAGATGGTATATTTTTGCACCAAAGTAATATACTAGAAACCTTGTTAAAAAGTTTGGTCTTGAAAATTCTAAAAACGCTCAAACTCCTATGGGCATTCATGTAAAAGTGTCTAAGGATGATGAATGTACATCTGCAGATCAAACACTTTACAGAAGTATGATTGTAGTCTCTTGTATCTTACTGCCAGTAGACCTGATATTTGTTTTAGTGTTGGACTTTGTACCAGGTACCTGTCTGCTCCCAAAGAATCTCATATGAAGGCAGTCAAGCACATCATCAAATACATTGGAGGTACATCAGACTATGGCTTATTTTATTCTGATGATTTGAACCTACATCTTGCAGTTTTTGCGATGCAGACTGGGCTGGAAATCTTGATGATAGGGAAAGCACTTCCAGCGGCTGTTTCTATATAGGATCAAATCTGGTCTCCTGGTTTTGCAAGAAACAAAACTGCATCTCCCTATCTACAGTTGAAGCTGAGTACATTGCCGCGGAAAGTTGTTGCTCTCAGTTAGTTTGGATGAAATAAATCCTCTCTGAGTATGGTATGAAGGTACATTCAGCTTAACTTTTGTGTGACAACACCAGTGCAATAAATATTTCGAAAAATCTCGTCCAACATTCACGTACCAAACATATTGACATCCGCTATCATTTTATTCGTAATCTGGAGGAAGATGGAACTATTGTGTTGAATCATGTACCTACAATTGACCAGCTTGCTGATATTTTTACGAAGGCACTTGACTCAAAACGCTTTCTCTCACTAAGGAAATCCTTAGGAATGTGTCTATCTAATACTTATGCATGTTGCATCCTCATCGATCTGTGTACACACACACACACACACACACATATATATATATATATATATATATATATATATATATATATATATATTCTTTTGGTTCTTCATCTTAGATTTGTTTTGCATTAGACATCCTAGTATGTAGGTTCATCCCAAGAACTTCCTCTGAATAATTTGTCATATGAGAATATTATCTAATGTCTTATGAATTCTAACACATTTAAAACTACTTGTAAGAGCTGCTCTCATGAAAATGAGCATCAGGCAACTATCACATGAGGTGTTTATTATGATCACCTATGAAACGAGTTACGTTCTTAATAATAATTGAGGTGTGATAGCTACTGGTAGTCATTATTTATGTAATATAAGTTCACTGGTGAAATAAGGATGGCCATTTTACTCGCTTTCTCAGCATGTGTTGAAAAATAAAATTTTCGCGGGATGATTCACACTACAAGTAATGGGCTTGACATTGGCGTATAGCTGATGTTAGTAAGTGAAAATGTGTGGAAGTTCATAGAACGAAGTAAGTTCATCATAAGTATTGGAGCTGAATTGCGAATGAAAATTTCGTTCTTTGCTAAGAGAAAATGATGAATAAACTTATATTAATTCTGTGGGATATAAAAGTTCGGAGATATATGGGCTGATTTAGCATATTACAACTTCTCATCATTATTAGTGTCGAGTTCATAAAAACGGTCTAGAAAGATTTGTAGAATGTTAGTTTAATTTCTCTCGACATTGCATGATTTGGAATATCTTGGTTAATTATTTGCTTGTTATTTTAGGCATATGCATAAAACTTCCTTGATGATTGATTTACGTTCCGAAATCGTGCCAACTTATTTTTGGTACAAAGTTTCTGCCATGGTTATGTCTGAAGCTACATAACGCATATATTTAGTAGTTGTCGAAATTTTGGAAAGTGGATATTTTGGAGGGAACGGTTGCCTTATTGAAAAGGCTGGTGTGCGGAACAAGTTTGAAATTCAAACTTAAAAAGAACCGTCGTTTATAATCCCAAGGCATCTCTATATCTGCTCCACTAGTGTATATCCCGTGCGATGCACGAAAGAGTTCATATTTTAAACATTTTTTGCACTTTATTTTAAATATAATTATTTATATTTTTCACATCTCATCGATTATGAAAATAAACTAAATGCAATCAATGAAAAATATATAATATTAAATACTTTTCTTTATACAATATTTTTTATTTAAGGAATATTATTAAACCTTACGGTTTTGATTTTCTTTTAAATCAATAATCCAAATATGATTGTTAGCGTACAAAAAATAATGGAAATAATCCAGACTTTAAAGTAAAGCTATTTTTTATTATTTTACAAATAAAAATCTTCCAAATTTTTTTTTAATTTAAAAAAAAAATTGGCAAGTTTGATAATGAGTTAAATCAAGTTATACAAATGATTAAATAGTTAAAATGTTATATTAACTATATTTTAAGAAATCCGATTATATAAAAATGGGTAAAAAAATATTATACTAATTAGTTTGTTAGGACTGTGATTATATGGAAGTTAAAATAAAATGAAATGTAACCAAAAAATTTGTTCGTGGTTTTTTCCTAAATGTTTGAATTTAAAAATCTAGTAACCAAATTTACATTATATCACGTAAGGAAAAAAATAAATAATAAATATTTATTAAAGAGATAAATCAATAATATTTATCACTTAGATAATAAATATAAATATTTACATGTAAAAAAATAAATAATAATATATTTAAAAATTAAGTCAGAATTTCAAATAAAGTAAAAGGAGGGATAACTCATTTTTTTAAAAAAGTTTCTAAATATTTAATATATTGATAAGTATCTCCATAAGAATAATCATACCATTTTAATTTTAAAAAAATTGGCAAGTTTGTTAGAGAGATAAATCTGGTTAGACAAATGATTAATTTGTTAAGATATTATATTAATTGTATCATAAAAAATCGGTTAGATAATGTAAATAAAAAAATATAATACTAATTAGTTTGTTAGAAATGTGATAATGAAAACCAAGATAAAATGAAATTTACCCAAAAAAATTGTTTGGAATCTTTTCCTTTAAATGTTTGAATTTACAAATTTAATACCGAAATTCTATTATATCACATAAGGGAAAAATAAATAATAAACGTTTATTAATATATCAAAATATGTAATTTTGAATTTCATATAAAGTAAAAGGTATGCTTATTTAAATTTATTTTTAAAATAAAAGTTATGATAAACATTTATTGATTCTCTTTCAAATATATTAATAAAATAAAAATATAAATCTAAACAATTTTGAAACAACCAAAAAAATCGGATTGATTGGCATAAAAAAAGGAAGTGAAATCGGATTTGAATGCTAAAATCGGAACACCTTACCAAATTGAATGCTAAAAGATTCGATTTGATTGGTTACCTAATTGCATGGGCTGAAAAAATTCAAAAAAAAATTTACGAATTGAAGAAGCGGGAAAAACACTATATTGAAGCGGGAAAACGAAATTATTATTTTCGGATTGTTCAAATATTTTTTCTTCTCCGTATTATATAGTAATAGATATCTTCCTCTATATTTCTCTCTCTCATCAAATAAGTATGTCTGATTGTGTTTTCTATCCCTAAAATCTTTAACCTTCCATTTTCGTGTTGAAATCTCTCTCTTTGAAATCATGCCGGGGCTTAAAAACTTGAAATAAAAGAGAGTTCACCTTGCCAAAATCAGGGTTCTTCATCACCTTTCATGGTGGTTCACATGGCTTCCATACCTTCAACAATCTTCATTAACAAAGGTAAACGAAAGACATAATTCTTCTTTGAGCAAATATAATAAAATATGGCTAGACCTATGATTCAATTTAAGGTTTCAATTGAGGTAAAAAAGGAAGAAACAAAGGGGAATGGACTTTTTTTTTTCCTGCAATTCATAATACTTCGATATCATCCAAAAGAACAATATCATTTCAAATTAATCCAGAAAAAAAAGGGATTGCAATTATTTCTTAAAGTTTCACTGGAACAAGTGCNGAAAAAAAAAAAAAGACAACCATCCTCTAATAAAATGGGGAAGAAAAACAAAAGATACCTCCTTCAATCGGACTCAATCGAACTCCGAGATAACTATGGTGAGGAAGCTAGTATGTAGCGCGACAATTCTCAGTCCTCCCATTTCCAGAACTCGCCGGTGGGAGGTGGGGTGCAGTTGAAGTCGAAACCCTTCCGCTGATCCCCGTGGGCTGGGCTGGTCTAGTGGCTAGGACCGTGTCCGCCACCTCGGGTGCGAAGGGATAGGCTGAGGCGGGTCCGGAGAGTGTTCGACGGTTGCGTGTGGCTTGAACGAGGACATTTCTGGGTGCAAGGGGAATGAAAAATTTCAGACATGATGTTCGATAAAATTGAGAAAAACATAAAAGAAAGAAGATGAATAGTGTGACTGATATGTGGTGTGTAAATAGAAACAGACTTTTGGTTGATATTTTTCTTCCCACTCTAAGGGCAAAAGTGTCAATTCAACACATGAAACAACACGTGTAAGTAGAAGAGTAGCACATATGAATAAAAAAATGAAAAAATTGAACAGTAAAGCAAGTAAATACTTAACATAGAAATGCACAAGGATTATAGTGATATCCTACACTTCCGAGTCCTTGCTGCTCGAGTTTTGAAAAGCAACCTCTTGAAAAAAATTGTCCTAATTCTAGTGCAAGAAGGAATTAAGTACGATAAATTGGAAGTCACGGGTTTGTGCTGTTGTTGAGTCCATTCTTGTCGAGAGGTCGAGAGACGGAGAATGGCGAATCGTTCTTCTTTGGTAGTGGGATCCTGGTTAAACAGCTACAATATATCTGCCAAATCCAAATCCAAATTCAAATTCAAATGTTCAGACAGTAGCAAAGCTCTTGCCGACGCCGAATCGAAATTTATGCAATCCGCTAATGCTCAGCTCAACGTCAGGTTCCTGGTGAGGCACGATCACAACGAAACCCTCGATTTCTCTGTAATCTCAACCGAAGGCAACTCTTTCAGACTATTACACGAGGATGACGATGATCTTCCTCGCAACTTATTGGCTGTACTCGGATTTGGAAACTACGTCTATGACGTTCTTGGATGTTGCGGCTCATGGATTTGGTTGGTATATCAGCAAATTCGTTCCATGTCCCAGCCACAGCATCTTCTGTGGGACATGGAGACGGATACGTGTAGATTCCGCTGTTCTCCCTCGGATTTCCCAAACATTGATGATAGCGTGTGGGCTCACGGCTTCGGGTTTGATCCTTCATCTGGGCACTATAAGCTGGTCAGATGTTGGATGGACCAGTTTGGAGAAAAGTACGCTGAGGTGTTTTCCCTGGGAACTAGTTCGTGGAAGGAAGTTCACTGTCCTTATGGCATCCACGTGAGAGACTGGGGGTTCCGTCCTATTCACATTAATGGCTTCCACTATTGGATAGTTAGGGATAGTCTTGACGGTTTCGCCATTATGTCGTTCGACTTCGCTAATGACCAGTTTCATGCTCTTTTCCCTCTACCCAAGAAGGAAAAGTTGTGTAAGTTGGTGCGAGTTGCTCTAGTTGAGTTTGAGGGCTCTCTTGCGGCTATTTATTTCGACTCCAAGGTCAATCCTTTTTTTGAGATTTGGGCTTGGAATGCGCGAGGCAGCTTCTGGTCCCTTGTCTCCACATTCGACCTCCCTGCAGCTGCTGCTCCTCGTGCGGTGCTAAACCTCTACAACAATGATAAATTGTTTCTTGCGGACTGCAATGGTGACTTGCTGCTTTATGACCGTGCTACCAGACGGCTGGAGAATTTCTGTATCCCTATCGATAGAAGAGGGTTTGCGCAGTTTTTCCCTTATGTCAAGAGCTCTGTTGGTCCTAGCTCCAGCGATTAATCTGCAAATTTAGTTAGAGCTCATAGGGATGGGCATATTTATTGGTTTGGTGGCATCTTCTTTGTTTGAATGTCGTGTTATGTTTTTTGTGTGAATGGTATCTGGTGTGCTCGTTGTTGGATTGCTCCAACACCCTTATCAATTTTTATTTGCTTTTCGTTTTCTTTTGCTCTTTTAAATTTATTGTGATTGGAAGTTTAGTGGATGCAACTTTTCCTATGTGTAATTCTGGCTGACAATGATACATCCAGTCACGGCGGATTTAAGATCTCACATTAGATCATTTGTTCCAAGACCTCCTAGCTGGGTTGGGTCACTCTCTCTCCTCCAACCTATCTTACACATCTTAAGTTGCCTCGCTTCACATTTAGCATGATACATGTCTTCTCTCTAACCCCAGCGTGGCTAACGAGTTGTTTTCTTGTTTTGATTATTTTGTTGGCCTTTATATTTGGTCATTTATTGTTTTTAAATTTGATTGGACTTATGGTGGATGAAATGTTCTGGAATTTTAATAGTTAAATAGGTTTACTGTTAGATGCATAAAGTAAATAATTACCATATGGTAGTGAACACATTAGCGGGTCTGAGTAGATTTCACACAACAATCTTCATAGTTATGGGCTCTATGGGATTTTTATCTGTTTAAGTACACTTGCTTTTTATGATGATCTTTCGATCCTTAAAAANTACCTGATGCTTTTTCCGAATTTTGTAAGTCAAAGTTGTTTCATTTTTAATTTCCAACAGTAGTATGTGATGTTTAAATGATTGCAGGAACTAGGTCTTTTTTTTTTTATTTTATTTTTTGTCTTTTGGAATTGTGGTTTTTGTTTGCCAATAGATCACTGCTCCTAGAAAAGGTTAAATGGTTGAAGGTATGGAACCCTCTGTATAAAAAGCTTGAATGTAATTAGTTGATTTGTTTCTTGATTTTTGCAAGGAACATGTGCGTTGATTTGTTTCTTGGTTTTTGCAGGGAACATGTGCAGCGTAATGGGGTGTTTATAACAATAGAATCAGATGAAAAGAATGTGGACATTGATGAGAATCTTGACGACCCATAGTTATGTGCGACCATTTGTGTGATATGTACAAGTACTTAGAGCTCCTGAGGTTTGAATAGTTTGTTTGTGTTCAACATTTTCAAGTTATGTAAATGGAGTCTGACTTCTTGAGTTGCCTGAAATTTGAAAAGAAAGCACCCACGACTAAATGTTACTTGAGGTAAAAATTCAATTCGTATCCTCCTTATCCCCTTTGTCTCAAATTTCAGAATAAGATGTTAATAATCATTATCTGTTTATTGAAACTTGCAATAGAAGGTTTGTTTGTGCCACACACCAGGACTCAGTGAGGTATGACCACCATTGAGAAAACCTGAACTTTTTAAGAATTTTTTTATTTTTATTATTATTATTTATTCTGGCATTATGTATAGTGACTACCTTTCCAGGCTATCCTTTACTGCCATTGGAATGCTTGGCCAACTATATTGCCGAGTTATCACTTCTGGAAAGTCAACAACCTGCGAATGTTATGTTGGGGTACAAAAAGGGGAGTTCAAAATTCAATGCTGTTTTTTTTTTCTTAAAAATAAAAAAATTATCCCTTTTTTTTTTTCCTTTTTAGTTGATATTCTATCATTATTATTTTTTATTCATTATCTTCTTGGAGTTGATTGTTCCCGAAATTTGTTGTTTGTTCTGCTTTATTTTTATCTTTGAGCAATCAAGAGTTATTGTAGCTAATGTTGTAAAATCCATACAGTACCCAGTATTACTGCTAGTGGACGGTGCAGGAAAAACCAGAGAAATGGTAATAACTTTTTGTACCACGTCATACCGTTAATACCATAAAACGCTGGGGTAAAAATTGCCGATTAATAAAATAAAACTTTGAAAATAAATAAACTAATAAAGTTTTAAAGAGAAATACTGCTTTCTATCCTCTAACCCCTTGGTCTCGCATCAACTTTGGCAGAAAAAAGAAGTGAAACAGTAAAAGTGAAACATCCTCGCTCGGCCACACATCTCTTCGACAGCTCAAGTATCGGCCCCAGGTTTATATTTATTTTTAATTTTATATAATACTTCAAAGTGAATGCCTGATTTGGTATTTCATTTTATTTAGTTGTAAGGATTACTGAATTGTTACAATTTTTTAGTTGAGAATAGGGATTTAGAACAAGACTAGGACATTTAAAGCAACATTAGGGCTTTTTTTTTTCATTTTAATTTTCTTATAATCTAGGCTTTTGGGGAAGATGGAATTAGGTTTTCTAACAAAACGAGGGCATATTTCAAACAAAATTGGGGCATTTTTTTTTTAATTAATTTCTTTTTATATTTTAGGGCTTTTAAAGCAGACAGATTCAATTTCTAGTGGTCCACAAATTGGTGCTACGTAGAATTCACTTCCATTGGTCTTGGTTATAAAGCTACTTATTATAGTGTGAGGAGAAATTTGTTAGGAAGTTTGAAAACGGAAGTTCAATTAGTTATTGATGGTTATCGGAGCATTTGGGATGAAAGGGGTATATAATATTATACTGAAAGATCAATTTAATAGACCGCTTATCAATTTCTTTCTTGGTGTATTGCAAAAAGGGAACAACAGTATTTAGATCGGTCGATGCAGGTCGATGCTTCTGATGTTGTGAAAAATGCAAACACTATGTAAGATTTGTTGGTTGAGTTAGTTGAACGGGTTGGAGCAAGTAATGTTATTCATTTGGTCACTGATAATGGGCCCAACTACAAGGCTATGGATGTTTGTTGAATAATATATATCCTTCTGTTAGTTGGTACATGTGCTGCTCATAGCTTAAATTTGACTCTTGTTGACATTAGGCTTGTAAACAAATCAAATTTTTTTGATTCGATTCGATATTCGAATTCGATATTCGTGATTCGAATTCGAATACGAATAATGTTTTATATTCGAAAGTTAAACGAATCCAAATTCAAATTTGTAGATAATCGATTCAAAATTCGATTATTCGATTTGTTAAGAATAATTATATATATTTTATAAATTATATATAGTGTACATTTTGTTTATAATATATATGTAGGGGACGGATTCAATGAGACCACTCCTTAAAATGAATACATGAGATTCAATCTTAGCCACTCATTTTGTCTAGATCAAAATCAATTAAAATATACATTAATTAAAATAATAAAATAATTATTAGTTGACTCCGGCGTTGACAGTTGACTTCCGGCGAAAATCGTTGACTTTTGGCGTTGACCCGTTGACAAATAACCTAACAGCAAGAAATAAATAACCTAACAATAAAAGACACTCAACATTGAGTGGTGTAGTGGTTGCATTGCTTGTCTTGCTTCCATGAGGTACCAGGTTCAAATTCTATGGATTACAATTTTTTCTTTTAAAAAAAAACCTAGCAACAAAAGACAACTAAAGCTAGCAACAAGTAACCTAACAACAAGAAATATCCTAGCAATAAAATACAACTAACCTAGCAGCATCAAACTTATTCCGGTAGATTAGGTTTTTGGTTTTGCTCTACTTAGACCATCCCCTTATTCCGGGCACCTGTTAGCCCGATGACAGACCTTGTACTATTTTCATTTGCTGTTTTCGTTACTGTAGTGTTTGGATTGTGAGACTATGTTGAGTGTTTTGGCCCATTTTAGGGCTATGATCTATATACAGGTTGGGGAGCCAGCCTAATCCCCCGCCCCTAGGGGCGTTGTTTGTTAAAAAAAGAAAAAAAAACTAGCAGCATCAGACAACTAACCTAGCAGCAAGAAAGAAATAACCTAGCAACAAAACACAACTAACCTAGCAGCATCAGACAACTAACCTAACAGCAAGAAAGAAATAATATCCTAGCAATAAAATACAACTAACCTAGCAGCATCAGACAACTAACCTAGCAGCAAGAAAGAAATAATACAACTAACCTAGCAGCATCAGACAACTAACCTAGCAGCAAGAAAGAAATAACCTAGCAACAAAACACAACTAACCTAGCAGCATCAGACAACTAACCTAACAGCAAGAAAGAAATAACCTAGCAACAAAATACAACTAACCTAGCAGCATCAGACAACTAACCTAGCATCATCAGGCATTACAGATAGGCCTTCAGATTGTTGTCCACCTCTCTAGCCACATTTGGATAAATAACCTAGCAACAAAATATAACTAACCTAGCATCATCAGGCATTACAGATAGGCCTTCAGATTGCTGTCCACCTCTCTAGCCACATTTGGATCGAGCTAGACGCTGCGGCTGTAGCCACGCTTTTGACCTCGGGCCACCAGGGCTCATGGCAGATTCAGCACCCACTTATGCGTATTAGAGCTCTACTCCGGTCTGTCCATCACAGGATCACACACATTTTTCGTGAGGGGAACAGACCTGCCGACTATCTGGAAAGCCTTGGCGCCACCATATCAGACACACATACATTTCAGACAGACACTGCTCCACTCCGCCTTCGCACTCTTGTACGGATGGACCAGCTTGGATATCCAGCATTCCGCTTTCAGTAGGTTAGGATTTGTGCTTTCATTAGTTTAGACATCTATTTCGGGCATCTGTTAGCCCGAAGATCGACTTTGTATTGTAGTTTTTGTTTCTTTTTCATTTTTCGGCTTTTCTTTTTTGTTTTCCTTTTGTTTTTTATTTTGATTAGTGATACTCTGTAGACTATTGTATCTTGCTCGTTGATATCTTGGGCCCCCGATTTTGGGGCCCTGATCTATGCACAGGTTGGGGATCCAGCCCAATCCCCCGCCCTTCCGGGGCGTTGTTTGTTTAATAAAACTAACCTAGCAGCAAGAAAGAAATATCCTAGCAATAAAATACAACTAATCTAGCAGCAAGAAAAAAATAACCTAGCAACAAAATACAATTAATCTAGCAACAAAACACAACTAACCTAGCAGCTACAGATAACTAACCTAACAACAAAAGACAACTAATCTAGCAGCAAGAAAGAAACAACTAACCTAGCAGCATCAGACAACTAACCTAGCAACAAAACACAACTAACCTAGCAGCTACGCATAAAACTAACCTAGCAGCAAGAAAGAAATATCCTAGCAATAAAATACAACTAATCTAGCAGCAAGAAAAAAATAACCTAGCAACAAAATACAATTAATCTAGCAACAAAACACAACTAACCTAGCAGCTACAGATAACTAACCTAACAACAAAAGACAACTAATCTAGCAGCAAGAAAGAAACAACTAACCTAGCAGCATCAGACAACTAACCTAGCAACAAAACACGGGATCATTCCAAGCCCTAGTTATCTTATCACTCCCCATTCCCCAATCCAATTCCTCATGGCTGCTAATTTCCCTCCCTTTGGCGCCAACGCCAACTTCACTAATGTAGAAGGCATCAACGAGGGCGATGACATGCCTCTCCACCCCCAATTCACGTTGATGCTTCAAAACATTCAAGCGGAGCAACAAAACATTCAAGTGTCGCTAAATGGACTTAGCCGAAAGTTGGACGCAACGATCCAGATATGCTCTGCTCGAAGCATTAATCAAACCATCATATACTACCGGAATCTCTACCAGAATTTCGAGGTCCTCCCCAAACAATACCCAAACCATCCTTGGGCAAATCCTCCTCGACAGCTAAAAGGGTTCAAGGTCCAGATTGACGATGACGTGGAGCTACAAGTGTTCCAGATTGACGGTGACAGTTACGAGGTTGGTGATAATCCTCCCGTGGGTCTCATCCCTGCTAACTTGCTTGAACTTGATATGATAAGACGGCTCGAGTTAGCCGACTTCCAGAGTTGGCTTAGAGGGATTTATTGGTTCTATAATGGTCCAAAACTCTCTATCCCGACCAATGCCGACATAAATAGGTGCTTTGAAGGATTATACAACCTGAAGAGTTTTCTCCAGCATTAGAGGGATAATTGTTGCTTGTTGGACACTTGGAAATTGGAATGGAATGGAAGCATTGAATTTAATGATCTAAATGGAGACTTTAGTTTGGATGTATTTTGTTGTTTATGTTTGTTTGGAATTTGGAAGTTCTATTTTGGATTTGGAAACTTAAGCTTGGATGGAGTTTGATGTTATGTTGATCCTTGTCTTGAGATGTTTATGTTTTGCTAGAATTCAACGATTGGGACAAACTTTGTTTACAAAATTTAGTTTTAGTGAATATGAATTTTTTGTTAACTAGTGCGGGTAATATGATTAATGAATTGAGTTCTTAGAACCTAGCAACAAAACACAACTAACCTAGCAGCTACAGATAACTAACCTAACAACAAAAGGCAACTAATCTAGCAACAAGAAAGAAACAACTAACCTAGCAGCATCAGACAACTAACCTAGAAAAAAAAATAACTAGCAACAAAACACAACTAACCTAGCAGCTACAGATCCCTTTTCATTCTTGCGGCGGACTATCTCTCCTACTGCCTTGACGGTTTCATCCGCGACTTTCCTCATATGACGTATAGCACCCGTGGCTATGGTCCCCCCTTCTCTCACCTCTCTTACGCGGATGACATCATCATCTTCACCCGGGCGGATGATGATGGACTGGTCGAGCTCATGCGCCTTTTGGAGCACTATGGCTTGGTTACCGGTCAGCTGGTCAATGTGCAGAAGAGCACATTCACCCTCTCATCTTCCAGCACGGCCAGGTGGGCTCAGTAGGTCCACGACATTACTGGCTTTGCGCGTGGCGACCTTACGATTACCTACCTTGGCGTCCCTTTATATAAGGGCAACCTCACGAGAGCGCTCTTTGCGGGCGTCAGGCAGAGGATGATCGACAGGATCTCTGGTTGGTCGCATAGACATCCTTCTTTCGGTGGTCGGCTTGCTTTGATCAAGAGCATTCTTAGCTCTCTTCCGATTCACTTGCTTATGGTCCTCGACCCTCCTAGGTCTACTCTTGACGAGATAGACCAGATTATGGCTCATTATTTCTGGGGTTACGAGGACGTTTCTGGGAGGGGGAGACGTACCCACTGGGTGAGTTGGGACTGCATCTGTCGCCCCCTCTCCGAGGGTGGACTTGGCATCCACCGCCGCAGGGACATTGTTACAACTTTCTCATACAAGCTGTGGTAGCGCTTCAGGGAAGGAAAGTCGCTTCGGGCTCAGTACCTTCGCGGCAAGTACTGCCCTAGACGTGCCAACCACCCTTGTTGGGTGACGGCTGTTGATCATGATAGTAGGCAGTGGCGGTGCCTCACTAGGGTTGGTAGGCGCACCCAGGATCACATCTTCTGGGTTCTGGGCGAAGGCGATGTTAGTTTCTGCGATGAGTGGTGGGTAGGTGATAGGCTGTTGTCTAGGGATAGGCAGGTGTCGCATTCTCCCTACCTGCTTGTGAGCGACCTCTGGACGGACGGGTCGTGAGATAGGGGGAATCTTGATAGGGAGTTGGGGTTTGGTGCGGGTTTTAGCGAGCAATTATTAGATCAGATCCAGCAGATCTCTATCTCGGGGAACGGTTCAGATAGCATGAGGTGGAGACTTACCTCATCGGGTGTGTTTACTACTACCTCGGCTTGGCAGTAGTTCAGGCTGAGGGATCGGCCTAATCTCCTCTTCCAGGCCATCTGGAGTGACCTTTTCACCCCTACTATTTCGGTGTTCCTTTGGCGCCTCCTCTTGCGCCGGATACCCGTCGATACTATGCTACATGTGAGAGAGATCTCCTTCCCCTCTCGGTGTGCGTGTTGTTCTGAGACTGGACGCCATGAGACCGAGACCTTTACCCATATTTTCCTAGAGAGTGTGATTGTGAGGAGAGTGTGGGAGCATTTTGACACTTGGACACATATATCCCTACCCACCACATACAGTTTCTTTGAGCTTCTGAGTTTTTTTCTCACAGAGCACACACCTTAGACACATGGGCTTCCTCATTCCTTGTCTGATTCTTTGGTTCACCTGGACAGAAAGGAATAGTGCGAAGCATAGGGATATTACTTTTATGCTTTCTCACATTGTTTTGCAGGTAGAGAGACACATTTCACTCCTCATCGCATTGGGCAGGCTCACGACCCGAGACTGGACAGGCTGCACGCCACCACATCGCTACATGGTGGCCCCACCACCGCCTGTTCGGCACCCTCGGCCCAGAGCTGTTGTTTGACTTCGACCTGACTCTCCGTGGGTCAAGCTGAACACTGATGGCTCCTTTGATCGCCACACTGGACTTGCCGGAGGAGGAGGCTTGATCCGGGACCATAGCGGCGCCCTCGTCACCACCTTCCACACGTCCCTTCAGGCCTCCTCGAGCTATGATGCAGAGATTCAGGCATTACAGATCGGCCTTCAGATTGTTGTCCACCTCTCTAGCCACATTTGGATCGAGCTAGACGCTGCGGCTGTCGCCACCCTTTTAACCTCAGGCCATCAGGGCTCGTGGCAGATTCAACACCCACTTATGCGTATTAGAGCTCTACTCCGGTCTGTCCATCACAGGATCACACACATTTTCCGTGCGGAAAACAGACCCGCCGACTATCTTGCCAGCCTTGGCGCCACCATACCAGACACACATACATTCCAGACTGACATTGCTCCACTCCGCCTTCGCACGCTTGTTCGGATGGACCAGCTTGGATATCCATCTTTCCGATTTTAGTAGATTAGGTTTTTGCTTTCATTAGTCTAGACATTTACTTCGGGCATCTGTTAGCCCGAAGATCGACTTTGTATTGTAGCTTCCGGTTCTTTTTCGATTTTCGGTTTTCTTTTTCTTTTTGGTTTTTGTTTTTGATTTTGGTTAGTGAGATTCTGTAGACTATTGTATCTTGTTCGTTGATATTTTGGGCCCCGATTTTGGGGTCCTTATCTATGCACAGGTTGGGGATCCAGCCCAATCCCCCGCCCTTTCGGGGCGTTGTTTGTTAAAAAAAAAAAAAAAAAAAACTAGCAACTACTAATCTTCTCTTCGGGGCCATTTGGAGCGATCTTTTCACCCTACCATTTGGATATTCCTTTGGTGCCTCCTCTTGCGCCGGATACCCGTGGACACTGTGTTACATGCGAGGGGGATCTCCTTCCCCTCTCGGTGTGTGTGTTGTTCTGAGACTGGACGCCATGAGACCGAGACCTTTACCCAACTTTTTCTAGAGAGTAAGATTGTGAGGAGAGTGGGAGCATTTTGCCACTTGGACCCATATATCCCTACCCACCACACCCCGCCCTTCCGGGGCGCTGTTTGTTTAAAAAAAAAAAACCTAGTAGCTACAGATAACTAACCTAACAACAAAAGATAACTAATCTAGAAGCAAGAAAGAAATAACCTAGCAACTTAAGACAACTAACCTAGCAACAAAACTCAACAAACCTAGCAGAAAGAAATAAATAACCTGGCAACAACAGAAAACTAACCTAGCAACAAAACACAACTAACCTAGCAACAACAGACAACTAACCTAGCAACAAAAGACAACTAACCTAACAGCATCAGACAACTAACCTAGCAGCAAGAAAGAACTAACCTAGCAACAAAAGACAACTAACCTAGCAACAAAAGACAACTAACCTAGCAGCAAGAAAAAAATAACCTAGCAACTTAAGACAACTAACCTAGTAACAAAACTCAACTAACCTAGCAGCTACAAATCAATGGCAGCCCCCACAGATTTCTTTCCCTCATCTAGAGGCCTTAGACAGGGTGACCCCCTGTCCCCCTCCCTTTTCGTCCTTGCGGCGGATTACCTCTCCCGCTGCCTTGACGGTTTCATCCGCGACTTTCCTCATATGACATATAGCACCCGTGGCTATGGTCCTCCCATCTCTCACCTCTCTTACGCGGATGACATCATTATCTACACCCGGGCGGATGATGATGGACTGGTCGAGCTCATGCGCCTTTTAGAGCACTATGGCTCGGTTACCGGTCAGCTGGTCAGTGTGCAGAAGAGCACATTCACCCTCTCCTCTTCCAGCGTGGCCAGGTGGGCTCAGCGGGTCCACGACATTACTGGCTTTGCGCGTGGCGACCTTCCGATTACCTACCTTGGCGTCCCCTTATATAAGGGCAACCTCACGAGAGCGCTCTTTGCGGGCGTCAGGCAGAGGATGATCGACAGGATCTCTGGTTGGTCGCAAAGACATCTTTCTTTCGGTGGTCGACTTGCGCTGATCAAGAGCACTCTTAGCTCTCTTCTGATTCACTTGCTTATGGTCCTCGATCCCCCTAGGTCTACTCTTGACGAGATAGACCAAATTATGGCTTGTTATTTTTGGGGTTACGAGGACGGTTCTGGGAGGGGGAGACGTACCCACTGGGTGAGTTGGGACTCCATCTGTCGACCCCTCCCCGAGGGTGGTCTTGGCATCCGCCGCCTCAGGGACATTGTTACAGCCTTCGCATACAAGCTGTGGTGGCGCTTCAGGGAAGGAACGTCGCTTTGGACTCAGTACCTTCGGGGCAAGTACTGCCCTAGACGTGCCAACCACCCTTGTTGGATGACGGCTGTTGATCATGATAGTAGGCAATGGCGGCGCCTTACTAGGGTTGGTAGGCGCACCCAGGATCACATTTTCTGGGTGCTGGGCGAGGGCGATGTTAGTTTCTGGGATGAGTGGTGGGTAGGTGATAGGCCGTTATCTAGGGATATGCAGGTGTCGCATTCCCATACCTGCTTGTGATCGACCTCTGGTCGGACGGGTCGTGGGATAGGGGGAAGCTTGATAGGGAGTTAGGGTCTGGTGCGGGTTTTAGCGGGCATTTATTAGATCAGATCCAGCAGATCCCTATCTCGGGGGTCGGTTCAGATAGCATGAGGTGGAGACTTACATCATCGGGTGTGTTTTCTACTACCTCGTCTTGGGAGCAGATCAGGCTGAGGGATCGGCCTAATCTCCTTTTTGGGGCCATCTGGAGTGACCTTTTCACCCCTACTATTTCGGTGTTCCTTTGG